CAGTCATTTTGAGAGAGGGGAAAGTCAACTGTAATGTAAAAACTTTTCTCAAACCTAACAAAGAATAAAATAATGTTGATAATAAAGAATAAAAATAAAAGCATATTTAGAGCTCATCCTATGCAATAAAACACACAATACTGCTTAGCTTAAGAAGTAACGTGTGAGCATTTTTGTCCATGTCTCATAAATATTTATTAGTACATCAGTATTTGGACCTCTGAGAAAGCAAAAAATAAATAAATAAAAGAAAATAGAAAGTCTAAATTATGAGACTGAGACTGAAGTCAGTTTTGACTCGCTTATAGTACCCCCCCCCCCCCCCCCCCCGTAATTAAAAACCTGAATTGTCTCCCAGCCTTCCAAAGTGTCTACAGGAGTGACTCATCACTAAATCAAACACATCGTCTGTGTTCATGAGCTAAAACATGCAAGAAACAGGCTCCGAATCCACCGTTTCAGCTCCACTTTACTAAGTCCCACAGGAACTGGGCCAACACTCTAAAGTTGCAAGTGCGATATTCTGGCCACAGAGGGTGGTGGGGTCAGAGTGACTTTTTGTTAACCCTGTAAAGAGTTGTTTTAGCACAACTGGCTATAGAAAAAGATTTAAAATATAAAAAAGTTGCACAGGCTTTAAAGGATAGACAAGAGAGGAAACCAGCACTGGCACTGACCTGAGATACCTGTTGAACTGGATGGTGCGGGGTAAAATAAAATTAAATTCTTTCAGTACACACTGTAAATCATCTGTCTTCATTTGGGCCCATCTTCTGCCTCCTCTACCCTCACACCGACTAGCTTCAGATCCTCTTTCACCACATCTGTAAATCTCCTTCTTAGTCTTCCTCTCAGCCTTCTGCCTGGTGGCTCCAACCTCAGCATCCCTCCATGTCTGTAATCATGGCCTTGTCCATGATTACATACTAACCATCTCAGTCTGTCCTCTCTTCATCTCTAAACCATCTAACATCCCTCTGATGAACTCATTCCCTATCCTACCCATGCTCATCACTCCCAAAGAGAACTTTAACATCCTGATCTCCAGAACTTCCACTTCTGTCTCCTGTCTTGTCCTCATGGAACAAACTTTAAGATTAAGACAGGTGTCAAAAGATTAAAGGTTCCATAAAATAATTCTTGCTGACACTTTTCTCCACTTCTTCCAACCTGCTTCACACGCTTCCCACACTCTCTGTTGCTTTGGACCTAGACCCTAAGAGCTCCACTCTTTACTTCTATTACTGGAACATCTCTGATCCATTTTGTCCATCTCTTTCACAAGCAGTCTGTCTTGCTGGGACTCATCTTCATTTCTGGATTCAAGCCCAACCCATAAAACAGGTCCACGTGGTTCCAGAAATACATCATATAGCAGTCAAACACGGTAGTGGTAGTGTGATGGTGTGATGCTGACCACATGCTGATGGAACCATTCACACATGAAATTAGCATTTGACATTTTTATTTGTATTTATTCAGGTTATTCCTGTTTGCTGCTCTAAAACATTTCAATTCAATCCAATTCAATTATTTATTCAGGACAATGCACGTTAATAAACAATCAAATACATTGTATCGATCGTAACTGGGCCAGATTATAGCATAGTTGCTAATTTGCATATGTAGTCCGTCAACAAGATAACTAAGAAAAACAAGTAACACTATACAATTTAAAAACAGTCAGATAGAAACATTCCATTAAAATAGACTAACGAGAAAATAAAAATAACTAAAGATGCAAACATGTCTTGGAACCTTTAAGATGTGGTTTGAGGTGCTTTTTAAAGGTGCTATAAGTGGGATACTCTCTGATATTCGCTGGGATATCGGTCCAAAATTGACTCCCTCTGACGGACAGTACCATTTGTCCGAACGTCGTTTTCCTGTAGGGGATCTGAAGTTCTCCTCTAGTGGAGGCCCATAGCCTTCGTCTGGTCTTCCTTTCATGTATGAGGAAAGTGGAGGTGGAGCTAGTCCATTAAGTGCGCTGTAGATTAAACAACTATTTTTGAACTTAATAAAAAATTTTAAATTAAGCATGATGTACTTTGCCAGAATATTACAACGGTGAGATTTTTATAGACTTTTTGAGTAATATTTCTATTGGTTTTAAAAGAGTGTCCCCAGTGAATGACCAGGTTGTGATGCAGTAGTCTATATGAGAGAAAATCATGGAGTGCAAAAATATTGTAGCTGAAATTGTAGTCATTGAAGATCTAATTTGTTTAAAGTTATTTATATTGAATTTAATTGTGTTCGCTGTATGTTTTATATGCTTTTTTAAAGGATAGTGTCGGATCCAGGGTGATTCCAAGGTACTTGAACTCTTGCACCAGGTCCAGTTCTACCTCCCCCAAGAACACGTTGGACCGCTCCAGATTTATGTTTTTTTTTGTGAACAAAAAACAAAAACAAAAGAACTTTAAGTAAAACCTTTTAATTTACATTCAGTTGAATGTAAATATATGGCTGATTTCAAATCTGTTACAAATTTCATATAGAACTGAATTTATAACAGCATGCTCGATCCATGTGATACAGACAAAACCAGTGAATTAAACCAGTTTTATTCTGCTAATTTGTTATAAATATTCTACAAATCTGGCAAAAGAAACACTTTTTGACGAGTTGGATTTTTTAAAGAACTGTCAGCAAGTCTGATTAGTCTTTGGTTCAGTTTTGAAAGAGTTGCTGGTAAAACTCTGATGCTGAATGAAGGTTAAAGCTCTCTGCTTGTCTCGGTGGTACTTACAGTAACATAGATGTACAGTTGGAGAGCAGCGTGTGAACCTGAGAGGCAACACTCACAAAAACACAGCAACAGTTGCAGCTCTGAAAAAGCAGCATCTCACGGGTTTTTGCGACAGAATGAAACAAAAGCGAGAATTTTGCTTCATTTCGTTCCAAGAGTTCCCAGAGAAAAGAACTGAGGGGGACAGCCAGGATGTTTATTCATGTCTTTCAGGACGTTTGGCTCAACTGTTCAGCTTTCCAGACATAAAAAAAAAACTTCTCTCGCATTTTTACACCCTTCTCCTCTTCTCAGGTTTTTTTATCCCCTTTCTGTCTTTTTATTCTGGAGGAAGATTAGTGGGATTAAGTATGGCTCACATATGCTGTTCCTCACTTTAGGTATTCACCAGTGGTCTGGGCTTACCGCCACCCAGACTGGTGGATGGAGGCAGACTGACCGCTGATAAGGTTGGAGAAGACCAGTCTGACAGGAAATGATCAGAAATCAGAATAAATTCTGAGTTTCTAAACTTTGTTTGAGACAACGTTTGACAGTTTGTAACTGAGTGTGAGGAAGAAGTAATACAGATGCGGATGCAAAGCAGACGTAATATTGTTTTTGGAAATATTAGCAAACATTTTCAGTAGCTTTTGGGTCTTTTTTTGTGGTATTTAGCTTCTTTTCTGTCGAGTATATTTTAAATATATTTTCATTTCTGTAAATCCAGAGATAAAAATGGGGAAGTCCTTCATATCCTGACCAAAGACTAACTCTGAAAAAAATCAACAGATGCACTGTAATTGGATGTTTATTTCATACTAATACTAAAATAACTAGTAAAAATAACTAAATGAACGTATTTGCACAACCTGTTATGTAAAAACAAATACTGTCAAAAATACTGATTTATGTTAACGTTTGTCTACCTGACAGAGGTTGTAAAAGAAATCAATATAAAATTTAACAATTTTTTTAACGTAAAAAGTCACAATGTCCTCTCAATTTACTCAAATGCATTGTGACTAGCCTAGCTTATTGAGTTAAGTTAGGGTACATTTTAGAGTGCACATCTAAACTCTTCCAAAATAAAATCATAATTGTATTTATTATTTTAGGAATATTTCCTCAAAACTAGGTCATGAAGCTCGTTTTTAGACTAATGAGTCACTTGGGCCAAATGGTCAATGGGCCAACCAACTTATGGTTGTTCGACACCTGCACCTATTTGACAGCAGTCCTGTTAGCAGCATGTAACCATGGCAACAAATTAATCAAGTTAAAACATGCAGAAATTAAAAGAAATTCTTTTACATTTGAAAAGAATCAGTATTTATTCAGATTTTCTTAAGAGACCAGTTTTGTTTGGCCAAAAAAAAAAAACTATCAATGATCACATTTACAGCGTGTAAACCGTGCTCTGCTCTCATGAACACACATTAACTTGTCGGGCAATTAGCGCTGATCGCATCCGACTGCACAATACTTTGCGCATTTGCGGACAAAGCTGCTGTCAGATTCAATGAAGTGTGAAACCAAATCAGTGCACCGGGCCTTCTGTCAGCCAGTGGCCGCAGTCTGACCGCCAGCAGCCGGCAGCAGGCAGGCCGCGCCGCGCTGCGAGCGCGCACGCACCGACTAATTGAAACCTCACGGATCATAACCGTTAAAGACGAGTTTTGCACACTTCATTAATTAACGTTAAAGATGCACTTGAACGGCAGCTGCACGACAGCGGGGCCAAACGGAAAACGGGAGAGGCCAAAAGTCCGCAAACACTTCCCTCAGCTTTAGGCGCAGTGCGGATTTTTAGAAAATGAAAAACAATTATGTAAGTTTGAATTAAACTTTTTGCAGGACAGTTGTGGATATGATAAATAGTTTATTTTATTTTGAAATTTTATTAAATGCAACAAAATTATTTAAAATGTAAATAATGTATCAACAAGGTAAATTAATCCTGAAAATTGTTGTCAGTCAATTAAAAAAAAACTGCGGATTTTCTTTAAAAATGTCTAAACCCGCCAGAACAACCTGCTGTTTTTTAAAGATGTTCACTAAACAAGTCAGCAGCGTCTGGTTTATCTAAAGTAATGTAGGGTGTTTGGTAATCAGGCTGAACAACCGTCCGTCACCCCTCTGCCTCCCCCTCTCCTCACCCTTGCAGGGCGCTGATTGGTCGGAGGGAGGCGGCCCGGACCGAACCTGCGTTGTCCCGGTGTCCCGGCCTCTGTGCACCCCCAGCCCGCTATAAAAACTCGCAGCCGCGCGCAGGAAAACCTAATGGGCTGTCAGATGCGATCCGGAGTAACAAGTGGATTAACATTTTCAGATTTTCTCACCGTGGCAGGTCTTCCTACCATCACTATCGGAGAAACGCAGCTCGGTAGGTTTTATTGTTTATTTATGAACATGTTAGTGATGCGGGTTTTATTTATCCAAACTGTTGTTGCGCATCTATAAAAAAAGAGCGCAATTTCTAATAAACAGTAAACAAAGGGAAAGTAAAGTTGTCCTTATTTTTAAAGTTAGTGTAAAAAAGTAGAAAATAAGAAGTATGTTGCAGTTTGGGATGCGTCATTTTAAACTTGAGAGTTATGATGTTTTTATTTATTTATTTTTATTTTATTTATTTTTTTCGGAACAGCGCGCAGCATCAGGACCATGGACTCCGATACAAGCCGAGTGTCCAGCAGGCCGTCCTCTCCGGAGGTGGACGACATCTTCATCTCCACCCTGAAGAAGTCCGTGCACGGCTTTTCCGCCGCCGTGTCCTCCACACAGAGCGACTCCCCCTCAGACATCCCGGGGCTCCGCGGCCTCTCTGCCGCCGACGAGGAAGCGCTGGCTCTCCGGATGGCGTCCAAGAAAGATCGCAAGTTGCTGTCGGAAAACGAGCTCCAGGCGATCCGCCTGAAGATCAACAGCCGCGAGAGGAAGCGGATGCACGACCTGAACGTGGCCATGGACGGGCTGCGGGAGGTGATGCCGTACGCGCACGGACCGTCGGTGCGTAAACTCTCTAAAATCGCGACTCTGCTGTTGGCGAGAAACTACATCCTGATGCTGAGCAACTCTCTGGAGGAGATGAAGCGGCTGGTGAGTGAGATCTACGGAAGCAGCGGACATCACGGCGGCTTCCACCCGTCAGCTTGTGGGACTATGACGCACGCGGGGCCGGTTCCGGGGCACCCGGCGGCTTCCCACGCATCACACCCAGCGGTGCACCACACTCTCCTCCCGCCACCGGCCGTTTCCACCGCCTCCCTGTCCGCTCCCGGCATCTCTGCAGTCACTTCCGTCAGACCCCATCACGGACTCCTGAAAGCGCCCGGAGCCGCTGCGGGGCCCCTAGGCAGCAGTTTCCAGCACTGGGGCGTCGGTACCGGCATGCCCTGTCCGTGCAGCATGTGCCAAGTCCCGCCTCCTCATGTGTCCAGCATGAGCTCCGTCACCATGCCGAGGCTGGCAGGAGACTCCAAGTGACTCTGAACTGGACGGAACTTTTTCTGGACTTTGTACAAACTTTTTATTTATCCTGTAAGGAGAATCCGAGCTGGCTCAGACCAATGACTGCTTTTCTTTACTGTGACATCAGGTTTTACCACCAACTTAGGGTGTCACAATTAATCTTTATTGTACCAACTTCAGCTGCATCCTAGAAAACAACAGACTCCTCACGTCATTTAGTTCTTTCCCTCTCATCCATTGGTCCCCAAAGCAACGATATAGAGTGTAAATATGTAGATGGATTATTGTCTTTAATAGCTGCAGATGTTATATATTAAAGAGTCTGTGTGCAGAGAGACTCCCTGTCCCATCATGCACCTGCTCTAATACCATTTGTCGTCCTTCATGATTTTGTCTCCCTCTTCCTCCGCCCGACACCATCGGTGACCAATTCTTTATTTTGTAATAAAAAAATAATGAAATGTTATTTATTTACTTATTTTGGCGGAAATTTCTGGTGAATTTCTGGTTGCATTTTGGGGTTTGAAATGTGAAACAATAAAGATGATTAATTAAAAAGGAGCCAAGCGTGTTTTATTGCTTTTGTTTTATAACTAATGCAGCACGTGCGTGATATAAGAACAAACTTAACGATTTTTTAAAGAAATATGTTCCTTTGTGGGTTTTAAAAAGAGAACTCACACTGCAGATTATAAAAGTAAATTCAATTAAAAAAAATTCAGATAACAAAAAGTATATAAAATAGCATTTATTCTTAAATTAGTTGTTTTTCATTGTTATTTTTTATTAATCACAAAAATATTCATATTTATTCCAACAAAAATGTTGACCAAATATTATTTTTACACTACTGAACAATTACATACAAACAATTCGACTTTCTGTGTTTTAAGAATAAAACACCCACGTGTTCATTTTATTTAAATAAAACCGTTGTAATAAAACAAAAACCATATATTAGAATAAACATATTCATGATTTGAGTAACGCAATGAAAATTGAAAGTTTGTTATTTTATTCAGAATATTTTATTCTGAAAAGATGAACAACAACCTTTTGAATGCAACATAATAAAAGATGTTTCCCATCTTTTATATTCTCTTATTATTTTTTTCATTAAAATTTGAACCCAAACTTTGCCTGGAACCATCATCTCCTCTCAGAAACCAGAGAACAGGCCGGTTAGACTTTGAAAACCAAGCAGCTGCACAGCAGATTGTGCATCCTGTTGCAATATTTTCCAAAAGCTTTTGAAGACGGAAAGATATGAACTAAATATCTGAATATTCATGTGTGCGTTTGTTTATTCACCTCATTACTGCAGCTGAATTATTCAAAGTCCTTCAGTGTTTTGTAGGACATTTGAGAGAGCAAGAGGAGGAGGAGGTCAGTTGGTGTTTGTGCAAAAATATTGTCTTCTGAAATCATCTGAATGGAGGATCAGCTTGGAAGAAAACTAAATGTGCAACTCAGAAAGTTGTTCTCAGATTATTTTAAATAAAAAAGAAGTCAGTTCTGTCAGAATAAGAAAATTTGTTCGTGTAAAATACGACATTAAATCGATGCTAAATGAAGAGAAAAGTGACTGTTCAGTTCCTCCATGTAGTTAAAACTACATGATGTTTAAGGCAACATGAAGCCAGTTTGAGTTTTCATCATCAGCCTTTCTTTTGGACACCTCTGAGCATCCTTTTATAATAATCATGTTTAAAACTTGAAACTCAAATAACTTCAATGTTGAGTTTACTTCCTTTAGAAATTAGAGATTTTGCATGAATCTGATGTATTTATCAGATTTGGCTTGAAAGGTGGACATAGATGTTTTGAATCGGTTTTTAGTCAAATATCTCACAAGCCATGGCGATCATTGCATGTTCCTCTGTAAGTGATCCACCTTTGGTGAAAACGCAATTCAAGATGGTCGTGGCAGCTAATGGAGCTTGGCAAACACAAAAACAAACAAGTCAGCCAGCCCTTCAGATGATGATTTAAACTTTGACATGCTGGTAGCTGAGGACCATTCAAAACCTTCTGAGTGCTAACAGTTTAGGTGATTTTTTTTATTTCATTTAATATTAAAATAGAAAAACACCAATACCAACAAATAAAATGAGATTTCTCAAACCAAGAAAATGAAAAGGGAACAGAAAGAAGAAAACTTATGTTATCTGCCCCTTTTTAATGACATTTTTATAATGAAATAATAATTATAAATTGGCCTATACAAAGTAATTGCTTGACTGGTTAGCTAACTTGAGTTAAATTTTTAAAGAAGAATGAAAAAATTAATAGTAATAATAATTCAAAAAGCAAAAAGTAATTTTTGCACATATACCTATTCACACATATAACATGTAAGTGCATCGCATGCCCATATGGTCGCACGTACTTCATTTATACATATACATATACGCACGTATCCACTACATATACACATAAACAAACATACATACATATTTATACACGCACACATGAACATACCTACACACGTCTTCTATAGCTTTATTTAGTTAGTTAGTTTTTTATATAATTGATTTGCACGTATATGATTCCAGTATTTAATTTTAATTAGTTTTTTGAAGGTAAATATTGTTTTTGCATCCTTGATTACATTACCTAGCTTATTCCATATTTTAACTCCATATACAGCGCTCCTTTATAATTATTCTATGCTTAGGTATTGTAAATAATTCATGTCCTTTCAGTTCATATTTACTCTGTCTTTATATAAATCTTCTAAGTAAATTTGTAGGAAGTTTTTTTTGTTTGCATTATGCATACATTTAGAAATATTGTAGTCCACTAGGTCATAGAATTTTAATATTTTTGTTTTCATGAATAACGGGTTAGATGGATCTCTGTAATTACTCCTTAATGATTCTCATTGCTTTTTTTTGCAATATAAAGATAGAATTTGCATAAGTTTTGTATGTTGTGCCCCAGATTTCTATACAATAGTTCAAATATGGAGCAATAAGTGAATTATACAATAAATAAATTTTGTCAGTTTCAACATGATTTCAAATATAATAACTCCATGGGCTGCATGGTGGCACCAATGATTGCACAGTTGCCTCGCAGCAAGAAGACCACAGGCTGGAATCCTGCGTGGAGTTAGCATGTTCCCTTTGTACCCATGTGGGCTTCCTCCAATGGACCAAAAACTTTCATGTTTGGGACAAGATGTATGAATGTATACAAATGAACATTTCTCAACACAGGATGATTTTAGTCAAAAATGGCAGCCAATGCTTTCCTTGTTGTTTCATCCTCTTTAAACTGTTGATATTTCCTAAAGAACATGGACACAGTTTAGACTTTAGAAGTGGGGGGTGGGAGTGGAGATGGGGTGGGGGGTCAAAAACATGTATGAAACTACAGCCTAGAGGCCCTTTCATGCACTGTCATGAATGCAGAACTGGTGTCAGTAAAAAGCAATCATCAGCAGAGCCAATAGATGAGCTTATTGACGGTTCTAACGGGAAACAGTCTTTCGCACAAGCGGCTGTTTTCAATTCAATTCAATTCAAGTTTATTTATATAGCGCCAAATCACGACAAGAGTCGTCTCAAGGCACTTCACATAATAAACATTCCAATTCACAGTTCATTAAGCCAATCAGAAATAATGTTTCCTATATAAGGAACCCAGCAAATTGCATCAAGTCACTGACTAGTGTCAGTGACTATACAGCAATCCTCATACTAAGCAAGCATGCAGCGACAGTGGAGAGGAAAACTCCCTTTTAACAGGAAGAAACCTCCAGAGAATCCTGGCTCAGTATAAGCAGCCATCCTCCACGACTCACTGGGGATCGAGAAGACAGAGCAGGCACACACACACACACACACACACACACACACACACACACACACACACACACACACACACACACACACACACACACACACACACACACACACACACACACACACACACAAGTAATGTGTCTATAGTTATATTGTGATGTCTTAGTAAATATTGTATTTGGTGAAAGATAAACTTTATTGTATTTATCCTAGTGGATCTATAATTAAACGGATAAACTAGTAGTAGCACATCAAAAGTCAATGAAATGCTTGGTCCTAGTGCTCAACCAGAGTCTATTTAACTCATTCACTGCCAGCCCTTTCCTGATCGCTAAAGGCCTTCGCTGCCAGCGTTTCTCACCATTTTTACTGTTTTTTTAAGAGTCACAGTACGTTGCGCGCTAGGATGATGTCGACGCCAAAACAACCAAAACCAAGCAGAGACTCACCTTTTTTATCAGGAAGAATCCACGCGTTTCGAGCTTTATTTGTTCTTTCGTAATCCGTTGTTGAACTGTGAGCGGCAGAAGCTTTTCCGGTTTGCGCCTCATTTATTTTTACAGCAGCGGCCCAAAATGATCTCCTAACACGTGGATGTTCTGCTTCCTGATGACGTGACGTGTGACGTACGCTGATGAAGATCGCTTTAGAGCTGAGATGTTTGTTCTCACGGTGCGGGGACTCGTTCCGACGCCCACACAGTAAAGACATGCAAATGATGACTTTAGTTGTCATTTGCAGTGAACGGTTGGACTTGGGTCAATACATTTTAACTTCAGTGCGGTGCGGTTTGGGGCGGGTTCAGGAAATATATTTATTATACTGTATATATATATATATACATACTGAGGATAAAGACATTAATCAATGCTTAATTTTGCATAACCCAATATTTAAGACAGTTATTTAAACACGGTCACGTTTTAAAACAAAACTCCGCACAGATAACCTGTGACCCCATGACGTAGCGCCATTGAAGTGCGCCAAAGCTCCAAGCAGGTGGCAGGCAGCCACATCAACAAAACGATGGAGGACGATATTTTGGATAAAATTTGTTCGGGAGTTTACATTCTTAAAAGAAAGGAGGGACAAACTGCTAAATCACGTGTTTGGGAACGATTCAGCAAGGTAGGCTAATCAGCACAGACAACAACAGCAGCATTGGCTACGTGAAATGCAATTCTTGTGAGAAGCTCTATGAGCATGACAGTCACAAGACGGGCATGTGCTGCATGGCAAGACATCACAGGTAATGTGTTTGTTTCCTTTTAAAATGTTTGATAAAAGTTGTAAAATGTTTTACTATTTTGTCTGACCAAATAGGGGCTCTAGGTGCTGTTTTTGTATTGGTTTATTGCACTGTTAGTAGGGTAACAAACAAAAATAACCCTAATTTAATTAAATTTTCTTCATATGACTATTTTATTTTTTTTATTTTAGCATTTATAAATGTAAATGTTACTACCCTTTTCCAAAGCCATTTTGGGGGACTGTTTAACACACCTTTGTCTGAGTAAAAGTGCATTCAATCAATAACATGTTTTTAATGAGGCGGGTCGGGGCAGCGCGGGTTGTAAAATAGACCTAGTGATGCGGGGCAGTTTGGTGCGGGTCAGACGTTTTCAAATCTGCGGTACCTGCGGGTTGAAAAAAAACCCCTAACCCGCGCATCATTAGGGTGGGGGTGGGGGTGTCCCCCAGTCCCCCCCCCCCAATACTGCATCCATGTTAAAAACACATTCGCCCTTTGCA